TGAGCTGATTCTGACGTTAAGTTTGGGTTTTAGGGAGGAACGAATGCACACCGCTGTGAAGGGAAAGAAGTTGGGAAATACAAAACGCAGCTAGTTTTTAATAGCTTTACATCATGTCTTCTTTTGTATAATCCTTAGAAGCCAAAATCGAAATAAAAAAATAAAATTAGCTTAATAAAACAGCCACAGGCCTAAAGTGTAAGCAGATGTTTGAATGTTTAGTTCTCTCTTCTATCATAATTAAACAAGGCTTTCATGTTGCGCGTGCTGAAGCCCCTCCGCGTGAGCGCGATCTCGCTTCTGAATTGCGAATAGCAAAAATGCATCATAGACAAATGTTTGAAAAACAGCTGGCGACTCTGGTGAGATAGAATTTGCAAGATAATGTATATATAGCAATAATAAATGTGTGTTTTATTAATTTCTCCAGTACCGATAACAGAACCGTTAACGTCAGAGCTTATCGATACTCCGGTCTTTCATAATTTAGCCCCGGGACCGATTAAATACCGGGTTTCTGTACCCATCCCTACTTTTGATTCATGTCTTTAAAAAGCATTTCCTAAAGAAAATCTCCTCCAAGACAAAAGCACATTGAACCTGAGCTCACAATTAACTCCAACATTACAAACAGTTCTTTTATGTGTTGACTGTGAAGATTCACCAATGATTTTTAATGAGACCAGAAAGAGGAAACTGTAAGACGGAAGTAACAAGCTCTCTTGACAACACCTCTGTATTTTATATCTTTTTTGTGTTCAACTTAAGAACTAACAACATGAGCATAAGATGATGACAGTTTCTAGACGAACCCTTTTGACATTGCCCAAGGTATGAGCATGCCTGGAATGCTACTATAATTATGACTTGTTTCTGCAGTTCTTGTTATGCAAGACAATACATGAGTTTCAAACAATTTCAAAGAAACGGTTCCTACATGTCATGACGCTGTGTGGTGAGCATTTCGTGACAATGATCAATATGCTTCACAAAAAATTTTTAGCCAATGTTTATAACTTATAAAAGTAAACAAAAAAAATAAATAAAAAAAATCGCAGACGATTTTATTGCGCGATTCTGAAATCGAAGAAATCGTTCGCGAAGAAATTCGAATGCAAATCTTCTGTTTATCCAGCTGCAGCGATAAGCATTTTCTGGGTTTCTTCTGCTAGACGTATTTGGAGTTTCAGCGCGAGAGCGCCCACTGGCCTTTGGATGGAGATTTACTGCCGACCACAGAACCATGCTTCATTGAAAGATATGCATGACAATCGCAGCTTCTGTCGAATCGCGATCTCGATTCCATTTCGATTTATTGCAGCCCTAGTGTGTCCCCAGCTAAAGGGGAGCTTTCAATGAATAAGCCAAATTCTACATGCCCAAGAAAATTCCAAGCACTGTACTTTTACCCAAGACGTGTTCGAGTGGACAAGACATTTGTTTCCACTCAAAGTTGAAACTGAAAACTGTTCATACTGTTGGGTCAGCAGACTGCCGTGCGGAGTGGAACAGCGCCTTCATTTACCGTCACTGACTAGAAACATACTTTAGTTTATCTTTCTGCTTTCATCAAAGTCTTGATATTTACATTCATATAATGACTTTAATCCGCTAAAATTGCCCCAGAAGTTATAAAAATACCTCTGTAAAAGTTAGGGCTGGACGATATGGCCAAAATTTATATCACGATATATTTCTTAATTTCAGTCGATACGATATCATTCCGATATCGATATGAACACTATTAAAAAAGCCTCATAAAAACGGCCAAGAACGGCCACAACAGATGTCTGTACCTACAAACTTATGAAAAATGAATTTGCCAACTCTATGAAACCTACTCCTATAAAACTATATAATATTTTAGGAAAAAAATGGTGCAAATAAATAAATGTTCACCTTTTATTGGTATTTAGCCTTCATACAAACAAGAAATGTGAAATCACTGTCAAATAAATCTCAGAATCTCCTTATTAATATTAATATTAATATTTTTTTACTTCAAACTATAGGCTAACATACCAGTCAAAAGTTTTTGAACTTTTATCATCACTTTTGATCAATTTAAAACATCCTTGCTAAATGAAAGTAATAATTTCTATAATATAAATTTTAAAAAGAGCTTTTGAATGGTATAGTGTATAATGTTACAAACGCTTTTTATTTCAGATAAATGCTGATCTTTGGATCTTTCTATTCATCAAAGAATCCTGAAAAAATGTACTCAACTGTTTTAAATATTGATAATCAGCAAATCAGCATATTAGAATGATTGCTGAAGGATCATGTGACACTGAAGACTGGAGTAGGCCTAATGATGCTGAAAATTTAGCTTTGATCACATGAATAAATTACATTTTAAAATATATTCAAATAGAAAGCAGTTATTTTAAATAGTAAAAATATTTCAAAATGTTACTGCTTTTGGTGCATTTTCGATCAAATAAATGCAGGCTTGGTTAGCAGAAGTAATTCTTTATGAAACATTAAAAATCTTGCAGTTCAAAAACCTTTGACTGGTAGTGTAGGCTGATTATTCTTATAGATAGAAACGTGCATTAACCAGGATAACGAGTATGAAACATGCTCCGAGTTGCTTCAGAAAACAAAAAAATAAAGCAACAACAAAAGCATGTTGCTGGAAATGGGTTTATTATTCACCGTTATTGAAAAAAATTATATCGCGATACATATTGATATTGAATTATTGTCCAGCCCTAGTAAAAGTCCGACAAGATTGCACAACAATATATTCTGCAGAACAATTAAGATCATGCACTTTTCTTTCAATTGCATTCCTAACAGATTAAAGTGGAATCTTGCGTGGGAACTACTAGTATAGCTCTTGAATTTTGCCCCTTCACATGGCGCAAGTTATTACGTTAGAATAAAAGCCTTACAGTTAGTTGTAGTCATGTACTAAACGACCACCTGAAGGCGACACCGCCCCCGATGTGTCTGTAATACGTCTGTTTAAAAATGTTACCAACATTGAAACAGCGCGCATTGCTTGCCAATGACAGAAGACCAGCTACGAGCCAACTATCACCCGACACAAACCAGTGACCAGAAACCCGAACACTTTAGTCACGATTTCACAATTTGAGTTGAATTACTGAAATAAATGAACTTTTCCACGACATTCTAATTTATTGAGATGCACCTGTAGCTTGCAATCATTTCAGTACGTTGAACGACAAAATAATGAAATCATGAATAATAAAGACTGTTTGTTTCAATAGATTCCCCTCCACAGGCCACTGTCTATGAGAGCAGCAGACTAACCCCAAACCACTTTCCCCTTACTCAGCATGATTCAGCTAACATTCATGTTGTTCGGCTCAACTACACTGAGAAAAGTGCAAAATATTATTATGCGCAAAGTGGGGCTGCCGCTCTGCTCCACATCCAGCCGAAGTTACAAAATGATTCGCGACAAGCGCTTTCCTTACATTGCACAATAAGCCTCCTTTTCATGTTATGAAACGCACGATTTAGGCTTATTCAATTAGCACAATAAATATTATTGTAGTTTAAAGTACCATTCTGACGCAGTCGAGATGTAAACAGATGACCGCTCATACAGTCTCGTTGGCTGGCAAACTCGGGACACCATTTTACGCCACAGAGTGAAACGCTAGTCCCGGTTTATCACTTCCTCGAAAACTACAGGCAACGTAAATGTTTTTTCTTCACAACAAAGGTCCATACGTGTGCTTCGTGCCATAAATTCAAAAGCAAACATGTCTAAATGGGAAAATGGGCGTTATTTATCCAAACAGTACGAGGTAGCGTTAAGCTATGCTAGTTGCACCGTTGTAGCTAAACCGGGGAGGAGGCGCGGCTGATTTGCCTGGCTACAGGCATTTGTAATAATACTTGACAAGACGGCCTAAAACGTTAGCTTTCGATTCAAATCGGACCTGGGGAGCATTACTAATATATATAACGCGCAACACATCGAAATGTAGCTTAATACGATAAAATAATCTTACCTGCTGTAACCCTACGCAGTGTGCTAAATAGCAGCAGGAGAAGTGATGACTTCTCTCCCCGCCGCTGCCGTTACGAGCTCGAGCTCTGAAGGTCCGCCGCAATAGCGTCACAGATATCAGGCGCGGGGTAAAGTATGTTACGTCCTTATCTCGGGTTAGGACGCAGCTGACGACATTTTGGATCAAGGTAGGCCTGTATCACAAGACTCTAAACATCATACGACAGTTCGTGTTGAGCCAACATGGCTGACAGGGTAGACCTTTAAAAGCGATTTCCGACTCCATTTTACTTATCTCCAGGCAACAAGACAGATTACAAATGTGTCGCCATGGCTGATATCCCTCCGCGAGCGCTTGCATCAGCACGACCTAGTTCTTGGCCATCTTGTCTAATTAGAGTTAAATATACAGTCAGTCGAGATGTTCTGCGCTGCAGTGCAGTGTGTAAACGACCGCTTCTCTTTGGACATACTTTGAAAGGAACATAATTAGATTGTTTAATTTAATATTTGAATTGAACGCCTTTATTGTCATTGTATTTTTCTGCATACAACGAAATTAAGAGCACTGCTCCTGACTGGTGTTATAAAAACAAACATATAACCACAGACAATAAATAAGACTATAAGACTGTACAGTACAATTTTACAAGTAAATACAACAAGTGACCGAGTCGTTTGTTTATGACATACCGCAAATATTGCTAGATTTTGGGTCATTTTTTCAGTTGTTAACATAAAATAATTTTAAAAACAATTCTGATGTTGGTATTAGATTAAGGAGTACTTGCGTTAAAGTGAATAACATTTACAGTCAAACTTTACGTCTGTTTTACATAACAAGGTGTTCGCAATTATCACCATTTGAAATATTGCTGATTGTAACTTTACGTGAAATTCAAAGAAAAATAAATAAATTGTATATTGTCATCCCTTATGGAATTAGATCGCCAACATCCTTACTCCACAATATCATATACGTCTTTGGTAACTGAAAATAGCAAAGCATGTGCAGTCATACTTGAGTTAATCAAGTGCTGGAAACATAGCATTTCTAGACCATTGAACAAAACATTTATGACAATAATTTAATTATATAGATATAAAATATAATTTTCCTCCTCTCTCATATTTTTTTTCCATTAGCATATTCCGTAATATTAAAGGTGAAGTTCACTTCCTGGATGAAAATTCTGTCATCATTTACTCACCCTCCACTTGTTCCAAACCTGTATGAGTTTCTTTCTTCTGTTGAACACAAAAGAAGATATTTTGAAAAATGTTGCTATCCGAACAGTTGATGGCACCACTGACTTCCATTTTTTTCCCTACTTTGGAAGTTTCTTTCTTTCTCCCTCAAACAGCTTTGTCGGTGTACAATGTGCCTCCTCCGTTCATTCCAGTGGATCCAACCACGCCCCCTGGATCTTGTGTTCTGCAGTGAGGACCATCTCGTTCATTTGGGCTACAGCCCACCGCACAAGCTCCCGGTCATGCTAATAAGAACGACTGGAGCCCCCTAGCGCTAGCGGCATAGTTCTGCTTCTCTGACAACTGAATGGATGTGCCTTCAACATTGTGATATTATTATTAACAATAATAATAACTATAAAAATAATATGTAGGCCTATGCAACTAATATTGTTGTAACGCTCTTTGATTCTGTAAATATATGAGATGAACACTGCTGCGTTAAGCAAATATTACAAAATATTACATTTGGGTATGTGAAGACCGCTTTGGGAAACAGACATGATATGGCATATTTATGTTAAAAATTAAGTAAATTGAGTAAAGTAGATCAGATAAATCATATTTTCTCAGAAAATATGCAACACATTCTCTATTACTGGTTGTAGGCATATCACAGCTCATTGACTGGTAGGCTATATTTCAAACCAGTGTTAGGTAAATATTCTGATTTAGATTTTGATATATTTGATATTGCATGCATAAAGTACAAAATATGAAGAAAAAAAAAAGCCTGGGAAAATTGTGTCTATGTTTTCATACACTTTTTCTGTCAGTGTTACACAACAATAAACACGTGCAGCCTTGCAGCCGCAGTGTAATCATAAATGTGACCCTGGAGCACAAAACCAGTTTTAAGTCGCTTGGGTATATTTGTAACAATAGCCAAAAATACATTGTATGGGTCAAAATTATAGATTTTTCTTTTATGCCAAAAATCATTAGGATATTAAGTAAAGATCATGTTCCATGAAGATATTTTGTAAATTTCCTACTGTAAATATATTAAACTTAATTTTTGATTAGTAATATGCATTGCTAAGAACTTAATTTGGACAACTTTAAAGTCGATTTTCTCAGTATTTAGATTTTTTTGCACCCTCAGATACCAGATTTTAAAATAGTTGTATCTCAGCCAAATATTGTCCTACCCTAACAAAACATACATCAACGGAAAGCCTATTTATTCAGCTTTCAGATGATGTATAAATCTCAATTTGGAAAAATTGACCCTTATGACTGGTTTTGTGGTCCAGGGTCACAAATAGCCTTATCAACAACATTTGCCAATGTAATGACGGTGTACCACTATACAGTACTCCATAATAACAACCTAATTCATGACTGTCATTCCAATTTATGATCATTTACACTTACAAGATGTAGAGGCAAATAAATAAATAAATGAATAAAACCATTATAGGCTAATAAAGTGAAACAAAAACAGTTTCAAGGCAGGGATGATGGAAGTATTAGAATGTGTTATTTTAACAGAAACAACCAAAACATTTTAATTTTATCATGCACATTTTAGTAGACACAATGAACAAAGTAAGTTTTGAAAAAATGGAATTGGTATTGTAAGTTCGGGACCATTTCAAATAATCACAGGAAACAATACAACTGGGTTGCCATACACAGAAATGTGGATAAAATTATACATTTAAAATGTAGGATCAGTCATTAACATTAAACATCTGTAGACTACGGCAATACTGAGGGTTTTACCAGAACTGAAGGTTTTCCTCACTTGGCATGTGTCTGGCTCTTGCACCGTCTGCTGGTTGGGAGATGCTAATACATCAATACTGGCAGCTCCACAGAATAAATTAGGGTCACATTTTTTATCACATCCATACTTACAAGTCGGACTTGTAACCCGAAGGTTGCGGGTTCGAGTCTCTGGTCCGGCAGGAATTGTCGGTGGGGCGAGTGAATAACCAGCGCTCTCTTCCACCCTCAATACCACGACTGAGGTGAGACCCTTGAGCAAGACACCGAACCCCTAACTGCTCCCCGGGCGCCGCAGCAATACCCCCCAATAGTATGGCTGCCCACTGCTCCGGGTGTGTGTTCACTGTGTGTGTTCACTACTGTGTGTGTGCACTTGGATGTGTTAAATGTAGAGCGCAAATTCCGAGTATGGGTCACCATACTTGGCCACACTTCACTGTACTTTATTTATTTATTTATTTAGTCATTTAGCAGACGTTTTTATCCAAAGCGACTTACAAATGAGGACAAGTAATAAGGAAAAGTAACTAAAAGCTAAAACTCTATAAATACTATATATATACACATTTAAGAAAATAAAAGAAATTAAATAAAAATGACA